TACCGCAGGCCGACGCTCCAACCGCTGAGCCAAACCAGCCAGGGTGGATTTTTATTTCTTAGGTTACACTGCATCATAGAGATTTGAATTTGGAAAAATGAATTTATCTCTAAGGTACCATGCCCTTTTAATTTCTCATCATTTCAAGAAAAAAATAAAACAAAAAACTTGACAGAGACCAAGGTGTGGGTAAATGCCTTGTTTATTAAAATCAGAATGAGCTCTGAGTCCCTGGACTCATACAAGCAGCCTGTTCCTTGCTTTTATTCAGCTCCCTAACAAGACAGATGGAGACATTCATGTTCATTGCCCAAAAGCACACAGGCTGTTCAGCTGTTGATCATAAAATGATGTTAGAACTGCGCATACTTCATGTACCTGACAGCTAACACTATTACTGGAGATCTGAATGCCAAACCAATGGACTCTAGCCACCATGTCTCTGGGCCTCTCCGCTCAGCACAGCTGCCTGAACCACACAGGGACATTTCTGGCCAGTGATTTCTTAGTAGTGAACACCCTGTGTATTTAAGTTATTTGCTCCTTTTAATGTTGCTAGAGGTCACCAGCCCACACTTCCCTCCAGGCTAGGCCGTCCTGGCTCCATTAAGTCTCCCATTTGTCCCCTACACAGAAATAACCCTATTGTGTTTGTTGACTAAAAAGTAATTCAAATGTTTTATTTAAAATTCTGGCACTACACCAGTGTATAAAAGAAATGGGAAGTTCCCCTAGCCCCATCCCAACCACCCTAATTCAAGTGCTTCTCAAAGATGCTTCCTTGCAACCTCAGGCAGACTTACAAGTTCCGTGTCAAACCAGCCAACCTGACCACAGCTGGGCAAATGAGAGCCGCTCCCCTCTGCTGGGACGTGAGGCTGTATTGAGTGGAGGGCAAGAGAGCCAATCGTGTTCAGGATCTCTTATTACCTACTCCTTGATCCCTAAAAAAGAGAACCGATGATATATTCCAACAGAGTTGGTTGCTAAGGTAAGTAACTAATGGGCTTGGGGTTCCAGAACTGGCTTTAGGAAGAGGCTGGTAAAACCCAAATTCCCATCACCATCCCAGTCATTGTCCAGAGAACTATTTCTCCCCCAGGTTTATAGTTTAAGCAACTGTTTCATTTCTTGTTGACCTTAGAGCCCATTCCACCATGATTCATGGATCTACAATAAGGAAGTCCAGGAAGGATCTTGTTTTCTGTTACTGGATTCCCTGGGCTCTGGACCCTCAAAGTTAAAAAATTTTTTTTAAAATATGTTTTTATGGTTTTTTAGAGGAAGGGATAGAAACGTGGATGTGAGAAACATCAATCGGCTGCGTCCTGCATGCCCCCTACTGGGGATGGAGCTTGAAACCGGGGCATGTGCCCTGACCTGGAATCCAACTGGGACCTCTCAGTCCAGGGGACGATGTTCAATCTACTGAGCCACACAGGCCGGGCTGGACCCTCCAACTTTTTGAAGCCCTCGTTTCCCACCCATTCCTGCCAGGCTAACACTCCAGACACTGCAAATTGAAATGCATGCTGGCTAGGCAGGTGCCAGAAAGCAGCGGGCCAGGTGGGGACTGTGGCAGAGTGTAGGCTCAAGGGGCGGGGTAGGGTGGGGCATTCATTTCCTTGTGGACTGAGGACCCAGTGTTGCCTGATCCTAGGGCTTTCTAAAAGACAAACCATAACTCCGGATTTATGTGAAAAAAACTTTTATAATTTTATTTACATATTATCCCACCAAAAGAAATTGCTGCCTTGGTTTTCAGATGGCTATCAATTGATTTAAGTTTTCGAAGAACTGCCTAACTCCACAGTGCCACGTTTCTCAGGATACCTTTCCCACTGTACCAGCATTTAAATTTGAGATTGGAAGCTAGAGTGGTTTTCTAATAAACTTTCTGACTTTTAAATGTTGGCAATTGATTCACATTTTAATATATACAGGGCAGTTCAAAAGAACCATGCCTGGGGGAAGCCAGTTCTCTGCCTCCTGTTCACGGGCACATTGTCCTGCGAGGGCTTTGCATGGAGCTGGCTCAGCTCCTCAGCAGTGCGCACCTACTGATGGCTGGCTGTTGCTATCCCAAGGCCCAATGGCCCTCGAGGACCAGAGGCCTCTTTTTATTGCCAGGAAATATGGTACAACCTCAAATCTGGTAACACAAAATCCCTGGAGCTCACCTCCACCAGCAGATGGGGTGTTTTCTCGTTTTATTTGAACTGGAGGAGGATGGCCAGGAGGCAGGTTCACTGAACTTCCTGGAGGGCGTTTTCCACACTCCAGTCCTCAGCTGCTCTAACAGATGTGAACTGTGTGCCCTTCTGCAGCTGGCAGCCTCTGGCACTGGCCGCATCCTTCTGAACAGCACGTTCTCTCCCTCTCTCCCCTCCCAGCTCCCAGGGTAATGCCAGCCCCACAGTAGTCCCAGGAGGCCTATTAAGGAATGCGTTGGTTAGCAGTACCGGAAATTGTTCTTCCTAGATCGAATGCAAAAAGTATCAGCGATAAAAGGAGCTCTCCTCTAACGTGCGCGCTTTGCTAAGTGGCGAGAGTGTCTAGTAGACAATGCCTTTTCTCTTGCCTTATTACCTCCCCAAGTTATGGAGCAGCCTGATTCAATTATCACCGAGGAGGAGATGCGGAACCTGCTGCTAATAGTAGCCTGGGAGGGGACAGGTTCAATGAGAAAGAGAAATGTCCCTGTTTAGGAGCTTTTCAAAACTCCAAGGGTCCAGCAATCCATATTCTAATTGAGGTGATTCTAATTGCAGCCAGGGTCGCAAGGCTTGCTGGGTGGTCATATAATTAGAGGGAAGGCCTTCACTTTCCGGCCAAGGAAGAGCCATCTTTGAACATAGTTGGCGTCTCACAAATAAAGGTCTTTTTTCTTTTCTTCCCAGGTTTCAGGAAATGAGCTAACCAGGCTGTTCAAAGGTAAGCACATTTAGTAAGACAGAAACACAAATCAGAGGGAAAGGGAAAGTCAGCATCACAGACTCTCAGCTACCACACTGGCCTCGTAATAGCAGCTACTTCCTGGTCTTTCATCGGCCCTGATGCTCTCCCCTCCTTTTTGCTCATTTCAGGGGTTGCTGCCCCCTCCACACTGCTAGGCAGGCTTTCTCCAGTGCAAATCTGAGCTTGTCCCCACCCATGGAAATAAATCTTCCTCCAGTGACTCCTGATTTAAGACAAAGCCTCAACTCCCCAGCCAGGCACTCAGGGCCCTTCAGGTCACGTTACTCATCCTCATCAGCAGTGGCTGGGCACATGGTGAGACTTCATTTCTCAGTCTCTTTTTCAACTAGAAGTAGCCTTGTGACTCCACAAAGGATGTAAGCCAAGTGCTGTGTAAAACTTCTGAATTGTCCCCAAAGTAAGGGGGACATGAGCTTCTCTTCCGGCTGGAATGAGAAAGGCATGGCTGGGGCTGCAGCTGCCTTCTGGGTCTGTGTGCTGACCTTGGAAATGGAAACCACACCAGCAGAACTACAAGATGAGAGCAGAGGTCTCTGACACTGCAGTGGCCCAACCTGCCTCCAACTACCTGAACATGGGAGAGAAATAAACGTTCTTGTTTAAGCCACTATTATTTTTTTTATCCTCACCCGAGGACATTTTTCAATTTTTTGTTCAGATAGAGTGGAGAGGGAGGGAGGGAGAGAAACATCGACGTGAAAGGGACACATCGAGTGGTTGCCACCCGCACGACCCAACCAGGGCCAGGGATAAACTGCAACCGAGGTACGTGCCCTTAGCGGGAACCGAACCCGGGTCTCTCCGGACCGCAGGCTGATGCTCTACCGCTGAGCCAAACCGGCCAGGGCTAAGCTGCTATTATTTTGAGAACTGTGATAACAGCTGACTCCAAACTAATGCCCACTACCCCCCAATCATGGCCTTGTGCCTCTCTTGTGTGAACTTGGACACAAGCTGAGTGATACAGAAGGGTCAAAGGGAATTCTGCCTTTGTGGTCCTCGCCTCCTGGTTGGCTGTGGAACTCTTCTCCAGGCTGGGACACTTACCCTGGAGTGCCTGGGGACTGACCCCTAGGCTGTCCTCCTACAAGACCAGTGAGTGACTTCTTGGTAGGAAAACTATTTTTTACATCAAATTTCTGGCGCCTGGTACAGAATCTACTGCTGTCTATAAACAGCAAACTTTTTTTCCCTAAAAGCAGCAGAGAAGATCTAAAGTAAGTCAAGATCCAGTGAGTAAGTCTGTGCCGGGCTGCCAAGATCCAGTGAGCTAAGTCTGTGCCAGGCTGCCAAGATCCAGTGAGCTAAGTCTGTGCCGGGCTGCCAAGATCCAGTGAGCTAAGTCTGTGCCGGGCTGCCAAGATCCAGTGAGCTAAGTCTGTGCCGGGCTGCCAAGATCCAGTGAGCTAAGTCTGTGCCAGGCTGCCGAGTGAGTGCTAAGAAGCCCCCTACCCCTAGGGCTCAGTGTTGTATATATATGCTTATGGACACTTCCCTGGGAAGATGGTCCAGGGATGTCATAATTATCAAATGAGAACTGTGACTCCACAAGAGTTAAGAATCACTGCATTGGAGGAACTGCTGTTCAAAAAAATTATTTTGTAGCCCTGGCCAGTTTGGCTCAGCAGATAGGGCGTCGGCCCCGGGACCAAGGAGTCGCGGTTCCATTCCGGTCAAGGGCCCAGAACTTGCTGTGAGCCGTGCAGGAGGCAGCCAGTCGATGCGTCTCTCTCACCGTGTTTCTCCCCGCGCCCCACGCCCTCCCTCCCACTCTATCTGAAGATAAGTGGGAAAAAAAATCCTCAGGTGAGGATTAAAAAAAAAATTATTTTGTAAATCTTAAAAATTACTTACTTGCTTTCCACTAAGGTATCTCACATATACACACATGCACATTTAACATGGAGCATATTTTACAAAGTAGTAACCACTTGCTCAAATGTTCCTGTCCTAGAAAGTAAAAAAATTACAATATTTAAATATACTTGTGAATATTTTGCTGTTATAAGCTCCTTTCCAAAAAATAGGGTTAACGGACAGACCTCTTCTAGAAATGTTTATCATGCAAACAGAAGATGCTATGATTAGAGCTGGAGCCTTCTTTGGTCATTGTCAGTATCAACCGGGCTCCAGAAATGGATAGATTCTAAAAACTGGCTGGCGCTGGCCCCTGCTGGAGGCTCTGGGCTGGTGCTGACGACTCTCGTGTCCAGCTGAGGGCTGAATTTTATGCACTGCTTTCTCAGCAACATTCATGACAATACCAGGTCAATAACTGATGCACTTCTTTTGTCTGATTTAAAAAACAGAGATATAATATGCATTTAATTTCATTCAATAAATCAATTCTATTTAACTTATCATCTCTTAGAAAACTTAGGAGAAAGCAAACATTAAGACATGAAAAATTACATTAAAGATGTGAGACATACTGGAGAGTAACGAGTGCACACACGGCAGTTAGGAGTTGTAATTTAAACATACAAGAAGAAATGTCAAATCACTGTAATTTATTGCTGTATCTATGCTTTCCCAGTATAGCAATAATATTTAAGTAGCCACAAAGTGCCACCTTCTGGTTTAAAACTGTGCAACACCAACACCTCCTTTACTTCTTTTTAAATGTATTTTACGGTGGATGTATAGAGCAACAGCAGCAATTACAAAATGTTGTCTGAGTAATTTTGAGAGCTCAAAACAAGGATCTGTCTATAGGCTGAATAAAAAGATGTTCAATTCATAGTGTACACTGTGTAACTTTAATAAACATCTTTAGTTGTAATTTTCATGTAAACCTTAATAGAGCTGTGACTCACAGAGACCAAAAGTAAAGTATCTTTTCCTTTCACGGTTTAGTGAGTTGGTCTGCATTCTTGCAAACGATTTACAAACTACAAGAAATGGTGCATGTGAGTACTAGGCATAAAATAGTTTGTTTTCTTACAGAGGAGCAGCAAGGGGACAGGGACACTAGGAGACACCCTGTCACCGCCTTCCCCAAAGATGCACACCCCCAAGAATGGCAGTGGAAACCTGGCAGCAAGCCACCCTTACAATTCTTTTTGGTTGTTTTAAAATACAAGCACTTTCTGACATTTCCCTCCCCAACCCATGAACCCACCCTGACTTGGCAGGATACAATCCCAGATCCTTTTGCTTAGTTTTCCCCTTAGAATTATTTACAGGATGCCTACTGATAAGGTACAAACTAGTATGAAATTTATGATAGTTTGCATTTCCGGACTTGCTTCCGTGGTTAGATAAGTACACTGCGCCAACTCCAGAGATGGTTCAAAGTTAGGGTGACTCAGAGACATTTGCATCTGTCACCACAGAAACAGGCTTCTCGCTGGCGGGGGTGAATTCGCTGACTCTGTCCTCAACAGTGACGGGGGCCTTGGGAGTTGGGAGCGTCACATCCAGAGTGAGTGCTGAAGCAGCGTCTGCTCTTGCAGTGGTCACGACAGGATCAGAGGGTGGGCTGCTGGTGGGTGGGAAGGAAGACAGCAGCTCCCCTGAGCCTGCTGCAGAAGAGACCTCTGGAACCAAAGGGAATGATGGGAGGAACTCGGATGGCATGGGGAGAGCTGCGATGCCAGGTAAGTTTCGAGAAGACAAAGAAGGAAGAGGCGGCAAACCTAGGACAAAAATGGTACAGATCACACATCTTCCCAGCACCAAAAGAGCAGTAGTCATCATCACATGACTATTTTGATTTGCGTTTCATTAAGGAAATTGGAGGCAAGGAGAGAGAACACAAACCACAACCTCTGCTTATTTTCAGTTGGAGGCCAGGACTGAGTTAAATACAGGGGCGGGCAAAAGTAGGCTTCCGGTTGTTCGTATGGAAAATATAATAATTAATAATAATACAGGGATAAACTCTGTTTCATGTATTCACAATTGTAAACCTTCTTTGGCCCCACCATGTATTTACTGTAAGACCAGATGACCAAGAGGAAAGGTTCCCGGCTTCTAAGCTCCTAGATGCCTAGGCTCTGAGTATCTCAGCCCAGCTCAGGGAAGAAATGATTCTCCCAGTGGGGACAGACAGTAGCCCAACCAGCAGGCAATGCAGCCACACTGAGTGTCAAAAAGAATTCCGCTCACCCAGGAAAGCTGCAGGCTGTTACAGCTGCCCTGGACGGACAGACAACAGGAAGAGGAGACACAGAAGCCAGCCAGCCCTCAGGAAGGCTGTGCAGGAAGGGTCTTGTCATGGACCCTTGTGTCAGCCTCTGCTTAAGCCCCAAGACTGATGGATAACTATTTGTACTTGGTGGGTTTATTGTGACAAATTTAAAATGCACAATAAAGGAAGGGAGTTTTACTTCTTTAAGAAACAAAGTAAAGGCAAGCTGTAAGGGCAACCACTGTGCTGGTCAAACTCTCAATACTCTTAAGGATCTGTCAATTTGGGAAAAGGGCAGAGGAGAAAGCCAAGAACACAGGGCACAGAAGAAAAGGCAAAAGAGCACTAAGACAGTAAGCATCAGAGTTTATAGCACTGCAAAGTCAGCCCTGACATGTGGCCATCTCAAAGTCAACGGTAACCTGGGTGACCATGAACTGGACGAGCAGGCTTGTGGGATACTCTGCTGCTTCATTTTCATCAATGCATCACATCTAAGTGTAAGCACTGAATATCTGCTAACGTAACTATTTGCAGTTAAAAACTGTTTTTATTATTAAAATATTTGTTAATAATGGGGAATATTTATTAAATAACAAGCCAGCCAGCCAGCTGAACAAGGGCAATAAAGTTTTAAGTCTAAGTTTCTGGGCCTGGACTATGCAAGACAGGCTCCACTGGTGGCAGCCACCGCAAAACAAGGAGAATCACAGGATGTCATTCGCCTCCACTGGGCAAACTATACCCGTCCATCCATTGAGTTATAGCAGTGTGATGCCACATTACGTTCTTTATTTCTGCTTCAGCTGTCAGGATTCAGGGAGAGGACAATCATCAAGTTACACTTCTTTTTAAGCTTTTTAAATACAAAATATTAATATTGATTTGAAGCAACAGAAATTTATTAAACTGATCTGCCTTTTCCAGAAAAACAAAACAAAACAAAAAAACTGAAACAGAGGATTGGCTTTCCTGGATAAAACTTTTTATGAACCAGTGCTCTAGGAAGGCAAGATGGGCAGCATACCTGGGTTCACAAGTTCTGGAAGGCTGACACCGGGCATGACATGCGGTGTGGGGAGGTTGAGGTTGGGGAGGACGGGCAGGTTAGGTAGTCCTGCTGGTAAAGGCATCAGACCTGAGGAGAAGGCGAGGACAACAGGTAAACCAGTTCCCCTGGGGAAAGCATTCGATCTTCGTGTATTGAAAAAGTACCACCCACTTCAAAGTGAGAAAACCAGAGTCCATTTACTATGTGGCAGTTTTGTATCATAACTACATTAACAACAAAGTCTCTGAAGCAAAATGTCTTTCTATGCCTAAGTGATTAGATGGCTAAGTGGGTAAGGGTTAAAACAAGTACGACTACTTCTAAACTCAAGAGCAAGAAGGAAGAGGCATGAGTGTCTGGAGAAAGGGCTGATTTACCCCAGCAAGAATGGCAGTAAAATGAAATTGAAGTTTCTCTGTTGGTTGAGGTTTACAGTCTCAACGGCTTTTTGTTTTCTCTTTTAATTTCTGAAATAATTTCAGATTTACAATTACAAAAAGCAGTTGATATAAAGAATCCCATATATACCTTTCATTCATAGTCCTCAAATGTTGACATTTTATCATACTCGCTTTATCATTCTGTTTGTGTGTGTACACAATTGGTTAATAGGTTAATAGTGGTTTCATATGCCTCTATAATAACATCTTTAGCCATACAATAATGAAAGACTCGCCCTGGCCGGTTTGGCTCAGCGGTTAGAGTGTTGGCCTGTGGTCCAGAGACCCAAGTTCGGTTCCTGCTAAGGGCACATACCTCAGTTGCAGTTTGTTCCCGGCCCTGGTTGGGTCGTGTGGGTGGCAGCCACTTGATGTGTCCCTTTCATATCGATGTTTCTCTCTCTCTTCCTCTCTCTCCCTCCCACTCTATCTGAACAAAAAATGGAAAAATGTCCTCGGGTGAGGATTAAAAAAAAAAAAAAAAAAGACTCTCACAATGCAAATATATTTCATCAGTGAAATAATATTTGATTGCTATTTGCAGGATAAAGGGACTTGGTCTTCATTGGCAAATGAAGGAGAAATAAACCAAAATCTAATCTAATGTTCAAGCTACTAAAGATGCAGATAAGGAGTGCTCTCTTCCAGGACACAATGTGTACTCACATAAACAACTAAGGAAGCACCGAAGATGGAACTTTCCCATATTCCTTATTCCTGCCTCATGCTGCACGGGGATGGGGGCCTAAGTTGGCTGGGGGTAAAGGCTCAGCAGCTAACCAGCTGGTGACTAACACCTCATTGCCTCTTGCTCTCATTTATCACAAAGTTACAGAGGTAAAATGAGATTAAAAGACACCACATAGGTGTAAGATTTTTTTCACTGTTTTAAGATGCAAAATGTTAGTAATTGCTATTATTAGACACATTTCTAGTCTCTTGCCACATACCTGGTAATGAAGTAGCCGGATTTATTGATGGCACAGAAGTAAGGGACTGGTTTACTTGTGGCAATAATGGTACTGTTGGTACACCTAAAATAAAAACACAATCTTTTAAAAAATATGTAACAAATTCAGTTGACAAAGAATAAACAGACTATATTCATACTGTTTAGTCCTCTTCCCTCCCCCAGTGGCCAGGTCTTCATTCAGTGGGACTTCATTTAGTTGGTTTCTGTGTCCCCGGGTGTCACAGCTGGTCTACCTACTCTACCCATGGCCCTTAACAAAAATGGTTAACAGAGCCTGGGCCAAGAGGGTGGGAAGCTCTGCAAAGCCATTCTAGCTAAGTTCAACGGATGAGAGTTTTATACTTGACCTAAGTAGGGCTAGATTAGAAAACTGTTTTAGAAATTTGGAAATGGAGTCAATCTCCATTGGGTTCCTGAACTAAGAAACCACGTGGACCTAGGGCTGCTGGAGTGGGTGGGAAGCGTGTGCTCTGTGAAACAGCAAATGATTTCTGAACGAGGAGAATGATGAAGGTGGTTGGAAAGAGACTAAAGAGCATGTGAACCTCCAGAGATGGAGAGAGTGATCTGGCTTCCTGAATGTCTATTTCCTTTTGACCTTAAGTCCTGTGACACTCCTCTGAAGTCTAGTACATACCCACTTAACGATGTTAGCTTCAGGAGGGTATGTTCTTCATATACATGTAACTCTTATGATACTGACTAATAAAAGATTATTTTCTAATGTTTATCACCTACTCATGCAGGTTTTGCTACTGTCAAAACAATAGTAATATTGCACATGGATTCTAGATTTTTTCTCATAGATACCTGCTTAAATACAGTAGCAGAAATGAATTGTGTCTAAAAGTATAATGCAACCATCTTCAGATATTTATTTATTCATGTATTTACTGCAGAAATTGGAGGCATGCAAAAAAATAGTAAAGGATTCTTGGCTTTTATCAGACTCTCAAAGGGGTTGGTTGATTGGTTGGCATGTTCATTCACTCAAGTTTTGGGGGGGGGGGCACCTATTATATGTTAGACATTGTTCTAACCCTGAGGCACTATACAGTGTAAAAAAAAAAAAAGGAATCACTACCTTCAGGAAATGTACATTCTAATGAAGGCCAGAAAAGGGAGACAAATAGCAAACAAGTAAAATACATAGCATGGCCCTGGCCGGTTTGGCTCAGCGGTTAGAGCATCGGCCTGTGGTCCTGAGAGACCTGGGTTCGGTTCCCGCTAAGGGCGCGTACCTCGGCTGCAGTTTGTCCCCGGCCCTGGTTGGTCGTGCGGTGGCAGCCACTCGATGTGTCCCTTTCACATCGATGTTTCTCTCTCTCTCTCTTTGTTCCTCTCTCTCCCTCCCACTCTACCTGAACAAAAAATGGAAAAATGTCCTCGGGTGAGGATAAAAAAATAAAATAAAATAAAATACACAGCATGTAAAACAGTGTAAGTTCTCTGCAGAAAAACTGAGCACAGGGGCTCAAGAAGTATGTGTCTTGGGGGAGGGGGTGTATCAAAAAGGCCACAATGATTAATGCCATTTCAGAATGATTAATTTTCTAAAACTTTCATAATCTAAAACATTATCAATCCACAGAGAAGTTTTTTAACAAAACCATATATTTCTGTATTTCTACAGTTACTGTTTGGGCTCCTTTGTGGCAATATACTTAAAAGCAAAGGCAGAAAAACATATACCTAACAAAGCAGTTTCTCAATATGTTAAGATACTAGAACTACTGAGTATTTTTAAAATATGTTTTTATTGATTTTTGAGAGAGACAGGAAGGGAGAGAGAAACACCAATTAGCTGCCTCCTGCACGTCCCCTACTGGGGATTGAGCCTGCAACCTGACCTATGCCCTGACCAGGAATCAAACCAGGACCTCTCAGTCCATGGGACAATGCTCAGTTCACTGAGCCACATGGGCCAGGCTACTGTATTTTTAATGGACCTACTCAAAGTAAAAATGTTGATATCTTTTAGGCTCTTTTGAGCTATTTCAGCTTTATCTCCCTTTCTTTCAATATTCAAGAAACCATTTCTCTATACTATAAGGTCAAGGATCTCAGTGCATGTGCTTATAAGACAATACAAAAGAGCTAAAATGTCAAAAAGAAAATGGGACCTGAAGAAGGATGTCCACTGTCCCCTAAAATCAGAAGAGCTCTCAGATGGCACTGAACACTCTTACTCTCAAGCAGGTAAGAGTTACCAAGACACAGATACAGCTGCTGCCTGGAGAAGAACCCAACCCACCTTTACTAATACGAATCAGGAATAAACTGCAGGAGCATCTGATGGGATATAAGGGGAAAAATCATAATACAAAAAGGACTCAGCCCGGCCGGTGTGGTTGAGTGTCGACCCATGCACCAAGAAGTCGCCAGTTTGATTCCCAGTTGGGGCACATGCCCAGGTTGTGAGCCTGATTCCCAGTGGGGGGCATGCAGGAGGCGGCCAATCGATGTTCTCTCTCATCAATGGTTCCATCTCTCTCTCCCTCTCCCTTCCTCTGTTTTTCTAATATATTAGTAAAGAAAAAAATTTTTTTTAAAAAGGACTCAAACACTACTTGAATGAAACAAACTTTAAAGTCCCTTTCAACTGTATCTAAGACTTGATATTGATGACATTAATATTTAATGTCACCTAGGAAATGTTCTGAAACTGGATTGTGGTGATGACTGCACAATTCCATACATTTACTGAAAGCCACTGAGTGTATACTTACAGTGAGTTCATTTTATGGTATGCATATTACACCTCAATAAAGCTGGAAAAAAACTAACGAAGAGTAGGGGTTGGGGGGATATGTCACCATATTGATAACCAATGAAGCTGGATAGCAGGGGTTCGTTATACTATTCTACCCACTTCTGAGTATGTCTAAAAATTTTAATTATAAAAAATTAAAATGTAAAATGTCTCTTAGAAAAACACATCTTTGGAAAATAAAACAAAGATTTTGAAAAAAGCTGGGATCTGAACCTAGGGGACCAACTCCAGAGATTATACTGTTGACTTTCAGTGTATCTTGGTGGGCTATTTTCAGTCTATTCCAAAACACAATGGCATGTAAGCAAATTCTGAATACAAATATTAAAAAGAGCTCAAGAATAAACAGTATTAATGAAATAAAACTAAACTATGTTAGTATTTAATTCACTTACTCAATATTTGAGTACATAATATACTCTAGGTATCATGAAGAAAGAAAACAGAAGATTTTTAAAAAAGAAAAGAAAAATAAACTCAATCAGTATTACCAAATTAAGAACTATATCATGTACCCAAGCAATTCTACTCCTAGGTATATAATCTAGAAAAATAATAACATATGTCCACGCAAAGACTTGTATACAAATGTTCATAGCAGCACAATTAATAATAGCCAAAAAGTAGAAACAACTCATGGACAAACAAAATGTGGAATATCCATCCAATAGACAATATTGAGCCATAAAAAGTAATAAAGTATTAATATATGTGATGACATGAATGAACCTTAAAAACATTACTCAGCCCTGGCCGATTTGGCTCAGCAGTTAGAGCATTGGCCTGCAGACCAAAGAGTCATGGGTTTGATTCCAGTCAAGGGCATGTACCGGGGTTGTGATTTGATCCCCAGCCCTGCTTGGGGTCATGTGGAAGGCAACCAATTGGTGTCTCTCTCACATGGATGTTTCCCTCTCTCTTGCTCTCTCTTGCTCTCACTCTATCTGAAAATCAATGGAAAAATAGTCTTAGGTGAGGATTAAACACTCTCTCTCTAAGTTAAAGAAGCCAGTCACAGAAGACTACACATATTATATAAAAGGTCTAGATTAGGCAAATCCATAGAAAGAAAGTAGATCAGTAATTGCCTTGGCCTATGAGGTTGGGGAAAATAGAGAGTGACTGATAATGGGTACAGGGTTTCTTTTGGGGTAATAAAATGTTCTAAAATTGACTTAGGTGATGATTCCACAACTCTGCAAATATACTACCCCACTGAGCGGTATACTTTACATAGGTGAATTAGATCTTCTTAAAGCTGTTTAAAAAAAAAAAAAAACTAACACAAACGGGCTATATGTACTAGGTAGAACAAGGAATAAAGAAAATGAGATAAAGACATACGTTACCGCCCTGGCCGGTTTGGCTCAGCGGTTAGAGCGTCGGCCTGCGGTCCTGAGAGACCTGGGTTCGGTTCCCGCTAAGGGCATGTACCTCGGTTGCAGTTTGTCCCCGGCCCTGGTCGGTTGTGCGGGTGGCAGTCACTCGATGTGTCCCTTTCACATCGATGTTTCTCTCTCTCTCTGTTCCTCTCTCTCCCCCCAACTCTACCTGAACAAAAAATGGAAAAATGTCCTCCGGTGAGGATAAAAAAAAAAGACATACGTTACCTAAGCAAGAATGAGCCCCTGGGAAAGGTATCCTGTTCACTTTTGTACCCCCAATGTCTACCACCTAGAGCATATGCCAACATTTGTTGAGTAAACAGAGCAATTAAACAGAATTTAAAGGCAGAGTCCCGACTCTACAAATTATACGATATTAAGAAAAGCCTGACATCTGAAATATGTTGAGAAGAGGTTTAAATGCTGGCCCGGTGTGTCAAGTGCATGGAGATTTAGTACTAACTTTCACAAACAGAGCCTGTCAATGCAGAGCATAACAGTTTTCAAAGCATACTGACATTGATTTTTAAAATTGTATAGCTTGAGACAGAAAAGAGTACCATGTAAAACAAAGCAAACTGAAAAACAATACATTTTTCTGTATACCTGTACTGAGAACATTACTGACAGCCGGTGTGGTTGAGCTAATAGAAAGTCCAGACAGACCCTGTTCAATTTCTATAGTTCCTGGTGGTGACAAAGACGGAGGATTAACTGAGGACAGCTGGACCTTCCAAAGAAAAAAAAAGAAACAAAATCAACTCAAGTGTACTTACAAGAAAATATAGACTCTCACTGGCCCTACAGACTTTTTTTTAATCATATACTACCTGTCAGAAGTTTTTACCTGGCACTTCTGCCTTCAGACATTTCTTCCTAATTTTGATACATGCAAAGGACCATGCACTGTAAACATCCTGTCACTTCTAGTCTCTCGGCACATGCATCTACCCTATTACACACGTTGTTCCAGCTATTTCCATACCAGGAGGAGATTCTACTCTCCTTCCTGGCCATCCAAATATCACCTTACTTAATCCTCATACCAGCACTGCTTTCCTCGTCTCTGAATTCTCAGTCAGTTTTTGTTTTTAACTTTTATTGTTCATGGAAGAAGTCAGCTGAAGTCTTAATACCATGATAAATTCCTTGGTTTCTCAAGATGTCCAACCTCATTAAGTCCATCTTATCTTTTCTCATCAATGGATGAATGTGGCAGCCAGCAAGAGAAAACGAGTGAGTCTATATGGATTCTAAACAGACAGGTGGATGGGTGGCTTCACTTCTGAATACTCTAATTTCTGCCAGCTCTGGTGCCCTCTGGCATATCTCACCATAACTTATATAATGGCCTTTTTTTCCTAGCTTCAATTTCACCCTCTGATCTTCTGACTGCCCACAGAGGCTCATCTGGTTAGGGCAGCATGTATGGTCATAGGGGTCTGAACATATAACTACACTGGCTCTGGCCATGAGCCAATGGTGCAGCTGAGGAGGGAGCAGAGGTCATAGGTCTTCATAGCTCCACTTCACTTCCTCTAGAATCGGGGATGGTCAAACTGTGTACCATAAAATGACAGCGGTAACAGCCCTTTCTTCACAACTGTAGCATTTTCTCTTTGGATGTTTAGTGTTGATTTAGTTGTGTAGACAAGAGTTAAGCCTGTGAAGCCTGCTTAGGAAACATTTTAAAAGCCTTTAATCCTGTGCAAATATCTCTTATTCCTTATAAAGCTTCATTTTGATCCTGTAACTGTCCCCACACACCTAGCATTTTTTGCTTTCCCGGTCGTGTCTCTTGAAATAGTAAGCACCGGCTGTCATCACTTTATCATTCACCACTGACCCGCTATCTCCCTTTTTCTTGAAGCTTTGTTCTCCCCTTAGACTTCTTCTGAACTTCTTTTGGTAGGTCCCCTTTCTCTGACCACTCATTTAAATACTAGAAATGTTCAAGATTCCAACCTCAGTCCTTTGACTCACCCAGGGCCAATCCCATGACACTTTTATCAGTGCTCACTGGGTTCAATTACCCTCTCTTTGCTGATGATTCCAAAATCTGTACCTCTAGGCTTGCCCTCTTTCTTAAAATCCAGATCTGTAGAATATCTAAATGGATATTCAAATTCAACATGGTCAATACTTAACTCAATATCTGCCCTATCTCAATTAGGGCTACCACCACATACATCAATCAACACTTGACTCATTGTGGTGGAAACTTCATGAAATAATCAGGTAGTAAAGTTATCTTACCTCCGTAAACCCATCTTTAAGAGGAGTAATAGGTGTACCAGTTATCTGTCCTGGAAGAGAAATTTTCTTTCCTTCTTCAAAGGGGCGTGTAGGTATTCGATGCAAATAACCATATCCGATGCCACATCCTAGGCTATGAAAATAAATATTTTTTCAAAGTTACTGTTATCAATCATAGCTTCCATTCTTTTAAATAATGTCATCTTATCAGAGGTCTCCTCTGACCACCCTTTTATGAAACGGCACCCTTTTCTCCACCATGGACACTACCCTTACTCTCCTTTATTTTCCTTTAAGCATTTATCACCATTCAACACATTGCATACTTATTTTCTGTCTCCCCTAATAAAATATTAAGGTCTTAAGGGCAGAGACCTTGTTTTGTTTAATGCCTTCAAGTTTCTGACACATGGCAGATACTTAATAATTATTTGCTGAATGAATGACATAGTCTTTCCATGGAAGAGCTCCAAGCATTTCTGTATGATGATGTCATGTACACATCTCATAGTTCTATTTCACGACCTGACACAAATCAATCCAAATTAATCTGAATTCCTTTTAATTCATCCTCCTACTGTCACCAGAGGCCATCTTTTTAATGATATGATCACACTGCTTCTTTCCACAGTCTGTTGGCCTTCCAATATTTACTTTTCCTTCTTCCCTTTGAAGAAGCATTTCTCTGCCATTGTGTGCATGCTGGTGTGACTGTCAATCAGAAGGCCTCTTCTGTCCAAACCAAGGAGTGGCTAAGACCAAATCCAGGTCAATCCACCTCTCTTGCCCATGGCTACAAATCTTGGGAGTGACAGAAAACCAAAAATGGCTCATCCCTTCAATAGAATACTGATGAAATTGCCAGAGTCCTTCTTCTCTAAATCCATAGAGGTATTTTGAGTCTTGTCCTTTCCAAGTCTGATTCTTTAGCTGTTTCTTTGATTATATGAGTGATTCCACAGCAATAAACTCACGTCTTCTTACAACAATGAGTTGGTTTCTATTGTTTGGAACCAAAGAACCCCCACTGATACACTATTAGAGTTCCTCTAGCCAAAGTATATAGAAATTCCTGACCACGGTATGTAAGACCCATAACAATCAGGTTCCAACTATGTTTCTATCACTATTGTTTTTATTTCCCAAACTACTTGACACTTTCTGAGTAGGCCATGCAGATGTGTCTGTGCTTCCATTTATTACTTCCATGCATACTACCACTACCAAAAGCTGGGAGAGCAGGCAGTAGCCAACTTCAGCTCTTCCTTATCCAAATCTGATTTCACAATGATGCTTCACATTACAAAATTACTTGTTTCTTCTTCTCTCACTTTTCTTCCCTGCTACCATCAAAACTGCAATTCTTGCCCACCTGGCCAGTGTGGCTCAGTGGATTGAGTGTCATCCCATGCACCAAGATGTCACCTGTTTGATTACTGGTCAAAGCACATGCCCAGATTGTGGGCTTGATCCCCAGTAGGGTGGTGTGCAGGATGTTTCTATCTCTTTCTCTCTTCCGAAAAATCAATAAAACATATTAAAAAACAAAACCCCCCAGCAATTCTCACTGAACTGGATCTCAGATAAATCTGAAGAAAGAAAGATTAAATAATTTATACTGATCAATGATAGCCTTTCAGAGGTAGCTGCATTTTAAAACAAGGTGCTTTAATCAAAGTGACTAAGTGGTGGTAGAGAGGCACTGAGGCAACAGCAAGACCTTCTCAAACTTAAAGCTAGCCCAGCAATGAAACTAAGAGAGGTATGCTGCAATGAATGAAATGTGGTCAGCCTCAGAGGAAGGAATAAAAACCAGAAGTAGACACATGCCAAATGAGACTTGGGAAAATGGTCTCTATGGGCCTGTCTAAAGCAATGGCTGATCAATGGTACTAAACCATGTCAAAGGGAAAAATGTTTTCCAAAGAAAAGGAATAGCTGCCCTGGCCAGTTTGGCTCAGCGGTTAGAGCGTCGGCCTGCGGTCTGGAGAGACCCGGGTTCGGTTCCCGCTAAGGGCACGTACTTTGGTTGCAGTTTGTCCCCGGCCCTGGTTGGTCGTGCAGGTGGCAGCCACTCGATGTGTCCCTTCACATCGATGTTTCTCTCTCTCTCTCCCTTCCTCTCTCTCCCTCCCACTCTATCTGTACAAAAAATGGAAAAATATCCTCGGGTGAGGATAAAAAAAAAAAAAAAAAGAAAAAAAAGAAAAGGAATAGCTGCCAGAGTCTAAAAAAGAAGGGCTCCAAAAACAAGAATGTAGCAGCATAATGAAAAAGAACTAGCCCGGCCAGTGTGGCTCAATGGTTGAGTGTCGACCCATGCAACAAGAGGTCACCAGTGGGGGGCATGCAGGAAGCAGCCAATCAATGTTCTCTCTCATTGATGTTTCTCTCTCTCTCCTTCTCCTTTCCTCTCTCTCTAAAAAATGAATAAAGAAAAAAAAAATTTTTTTTTTAATTAAAGAACTGGTGATGACATCACCATCTGTAGACTCTCTTCCTTGTACTTTGATTCCATGCTCACCAAGCACTCTTGTGGTACTGATCTGACCTGGGTGTTCTAACTGGAGAAACTGAGTTTCTTTTGTAAACTGAAAATGTGCTATTCTAATAAATACAGCAGATTCTTTGTAAATTTAGTTTATATGTGGCAGTCCCTCTGAAATTAGTTGACTTTGAATGCCTTGAGATCATATTTCTGTGGTTATAAACCTAGACAATGGGCAATTATAACTTGATCAAGTATTGCCTCAGAAGGTCCAGATTCTTAAATGATACCTCTATCTCATTTTCTAAAATTATAACAACTTAGTATTCTGGTGGCAACATATGTTCAGCTGTAGAATCTCAGGTAGTGTGGGTAAAGGTATTGTGAGCCAACAGAGGCTTTCTCTGCCTGCATCAACTAAATCATCCCTTCCCCAGCAAATGCCAGAACTTGGCAAATCAGCATGCTTTGCTCTGGTTTAGCTTTTTGAAATTAGGTAAATGATTTAATAAACAGTCCCAGAAAACTGATTTTATAAAATCTGTTTATCTGCTTGCCTTGATCCTCTTTCTAAATGCGTTTTATGGTTATTGCAATTTTGTCTAACTTTTGGTCAAAATCAACTTATTTCTAAAAGTCAATAGTTTCCACAAAGTCTAAGAAGTTTTTCTAGCAGCTAGAGAAAGTTACACTGTATTGTCCCATTGCTGGGGAGGGGAATTAGAAAAATAAAACTGATTTTATTAAAATAAAAAGACAAAAGGCTGCTGGTTCTCAGATTGATAAAGAAAAGGTTCGATTCCTGGTCAGGGCACATGCCCAGATTGTGGGCCCAATCCCCAGGGAGGGGCGTGTAGGAGGCGGCCAATCAATGTTCTCTCATCGATGTTTCTAACTCTCTCTTCCTCTCCCTTCCTCTCTCTCTAAAATCAATTAAGAAAAATTATTTTATTTTATTCCTCAACTGAGGATATCTTTCTATTTATCATCAGATAGAGTGAGAGGGAGAGAGGGAGGGAGGGAGGGAAGGAGGGGGGAGGGGGAGAGAGAGAGAGAGAGAGAGAGAGAGAGAGAGAGAGAGAGAGAGAAAGAAACATCGATGTGATAGAGCTACATTGACTGGTTGCCTCCCACACGACCCAACCAGGCGACCAGGGCTGGGGATGAACTGCAACTGAGGTACGTGCCCTTCACCAGAATCGAATCTGCGACTCACTGGTCCACGGGCCGACACTCTAACCACTGAGCCAAATTGGTCAGGGCAAGACAAATTATTTTTAAAAAAAGAAAGAAAACAACTATAATATATATACCAATCTCCCTAAATATGTGCTTTCAAAAAATTAATTACTGGGTTCAATATTCTAGGTCAATATTTTTCTTAAGAGAAGTCTTATAATAAATAATTTTTACAACACATCAAAGTTTAAGCAGTCATAACTTAAGTCTAAAAATTATCTTACCTGCCTTCTCCACCCCATGCAGAGTTTGGTGTAATAATCACCTCTCGACAGTTATCAGTGTCTGTATTATACACATAAAGTTTTAATGGTTTTGCTTCATGTGTTTCAATAAGGCTGAACAGATCTTCAGACTGTAAAAGCATCACAGGAGAAAAATATTTTTATGATACTAAACTTTAGAACAGTGGGTCTTAAACCTCGTTAATATCTGAATTACCTGGAAACTTAAAACAAACAAACAAAAAAACCATACACAGTGGCTCGGCTGGAGCGCTGTCCCATACACCAAAAGGCTGTGAGTTTAATTCCCCAGTTGGGGCACATACCTAGGTTTTGGGATTAATCCCAGGTCAGGTACATACAGGAGGCAATTGATCAATGTTTCTCTCTCCCCCTTCCTCTCTCTCTAAAATCAATCAACATATCCTCAGTAAGGATACAAACAAAATATACCCCCCTCCCCGATTATGGGCCTTGCCCCAGGCATAAAAATCATTTCTTAAAACTGATACTTAAACAAAATTTAATTTGGTATATTACCTATTTACTATGTGCAAGGCCTTATGTCCAGTTCTGTAAGACCTAGTTAGCAATTTTAGTAAAACTCTTCTACATAGAAATTCTATATATTCTGCTTTTGCTCTCCATGATCAAGACCTGGTTATCTGGACACCTTATTTGTCTCTCATTTATTTAGCAATATATACTTCCACTGGCTAACAGGCAAGTAAAGGATCTGACTAATACAGCTGAGCCAATTTTGTTACCATAAAAAGGGAAAGAGAAAATGAAATCAATAACCAAAATGAGGATTTGATTTCGTCCTGAGGTACATAAGAGATTTCTGTATACTGTACACAAAATCTGTGCAACTGCTACACAGTATGCATTTTTCCCCACAGCTATGCCTAATGAGAAACCTCCCAATGTTCTGTTTAACACCCTGACATAAGCTATCTCGACCAGAAAACACCTAAATTTCAACTCTAAATGCAAAGTATGCAAATATACTTCTGAACTTAAACATTAACAAAAAAAAGTTATATAATTTTCATTATTAATAAACACACTAATTACCTCATTCATGACAGTATCTGCTCCAATGATATAATCACTGTGAGGTCTAAGACCTGCCACTGCTGCAGGAGAATTTGATTCTACTTCCTACAATGACACAAAAACACACCCAAATAATGTACATAAATAATCTTCCAAATTTTATAGTTCACAGTCCTTAACTAGAGTGATTAAAACTCTCTATATTTATAATTGTTTTGTTAGAGATAATGTCACAAAATATTTAGTAAATATTTAAAATATTTCTGTAGCTATCTGCTTTAACATTTCTTCTCATGGTGGTTAAATCATTAGAAAAATAGTTCTTAGGCATCTATATTTGCTTCTCTTCCTCATGCATTAAAAAAGAAATCCATATTTTAACAAAAATGAATTCTGATTTCAAGAACTAAAAGTAGCCTAATAATAATACTAATAATATCCCTACAATCTAACAAAACTGGAGATAACCACTGTTCTTTCTATACTGCTTCTTAAACTGCAAGTAACAGTTTACAGTTGATACCTACCAACACATGCCAAACATTTTCATTTGCCCCATCAAAGCTGCAGAAACGAATGCTCACTCCCAACAAGCCCTGGCCACCCCAAAGGTTACTCGGTGTGACGGAGGTCTCTCGTAGCTCCAGTGTTTTACTACTGTAGATAAGCATTTTTACAGGTTTTTCAACATTTGCTTTCAGTAGATCCTTAAGAGTATCATTGTCTTTATTCTGTGAACACATAAAATTATTTTTCTTAATAAATAAAAATTTAATGTTAACTATCTTAGCTTAAGTATCCTGTTGGAGTAATATTAATAATCAACACAAAACATTCAATGGGTAAAGTTTCATTAACATTCAAATGTTCCTCCAAGTAAAAGAATGTTAAGAAGTCAAGAACAACTCTTATGTTAGCAACAACTTCTGACTTTTTTCTAATAGCTGACCACAGATTATGGAATTTGCAACCTAACATGGATTGAAGTGATCTAGGACTTCAGTGATAAAAACCAAAATACTCCCTATGAAGTCATATTACTAACAGGATTGGTATGACTTTGGTTTGCTGGCACTTAAGTTTAATTTTGGCTTCTACTTCCTAAATATACACTTTATTTATTTATTAGAAAATAGCAGGAAAAGAAAATGGAAGCATTTAACATTAATGTAATGCTAAAAATTTTATTACATAAATTGAATAAAGGCCATTTTGTAGGAGATGTTGATATATAATAAACAAAAACTTAACACTGCTGTAAAAAAAGTAAGCCAACCAAGCAGCCACTGTCATAAGAATTTCCTTTGCTGAAATTATATAATTTCCTTCCTATAGGTAAATTGAAAGCAACTTATAAAAAGTAGTTTTATTTCTACACTTTAGGAACACATTTCTCTAATAACATTTATATATATAAGAAAAGACAAGTTATTTGAGTCTTTACTAATGCATTTGTCAATAATCTACAAAAGTCTGACATTTAAAAAAAAAAAGCAAACGTTTTCATCTTAATTATTTCTTTCTGCTTAAAAAATTTAAATATTTAACATATAAAAGTCTCCAGTGATTTCATTCCCCTAAAATAATCACTGGAGTATGTGTGAGGTATAGTATTTTCTAATTGACATTTTCATGTTTACTAACACATAATTATTGTTATAAAGTGGTAGCATACTTTATGTTTGTAACTAATGAGTAAACAGCCATCTTGACAACCTAAAAAATCCCATTTTCGAAAATTACAAAATACTATAGATGAAAGTACAAAAAGCTGAACTTACTAATCTTGAATCATTAATAGAAACAATAAAATCAAAGAATGGCTCCAGTCCAGCTCTATGTCCTGGGGAATTTTCTTGTACCTGTAAGAACAAAAATGCCAATGTGAAAAATACAAAGCTTAATTAAAAATTGTAGGTAAAATTTAATACCTATCTCTTCTGTAAAAGTAGATTAATTTTATTGAAAAGGAATTCTAGATACACACCAGTTCTCTCATTTCTCTTCATCTCTCCCAGAAAACAAAAACCCTTGAACCTTCCTAAATTCTACCCATTCTTTTTGGTTTTTCCTTTTTATTTTTTAGAGAGTGAGAAAGGGAGAGGGAGAGAGAGAAACATCAATGAGAGAGAACAAGAATGGCCGCCTCCTGCATGCCCCACACTGGGGGTCAGGCCCACAACTTGGGCATGTGCCCTGACCAGGAATCGAACCAGTGACCTCTTGGTGCATGAGTCAACACTCAATCACTGAGCCACACTGGCTGGGCTAAATTCTACCCATTCTTTAAGTTTGCCCCCATTTGAGGTTTTCCCTCTATGATTCTATTTCACACCACTTTCTTCTTTTTGGAGGCAGGAGTGCAGGGCAATCCTCCGAGCATTTAGCACACGAGACAGCAGATAGTTAATTATTACAACTAAGCGACAAATTCAAATTAACTTAGTGAGTATTTATTCCATGACTACTACTAACAAGGGACAATTCAATTACAAAACTAATATAGGAACATAGTGGCTGATGTCAAGACATTTATAATCTTGAGAAACAGGCAAGAAGAGAAAGGGGAGACAGAGAACATGCAGTCCTCTAGTAACTGCACTACAAGACCAACCAAGTAAGGGCTAGATGTAGGTACAAAGTTCTAAGGAAAAGATGAAAAAAATTTTAAAACTCATCTTTATTGTTGAATGAGTACAGATGTCCCTCCTTTCTTCCCCATTAACCCCCTCCTCCCCAATCCCACCCCCCTCCAGCCTTCCCCACACTATTGTTGGTGTCCATTGGTTATGCATATATGCATAGAAGTTCTTTGGTTTATCTCATCCTGCCCCCCCATCCCTTTGAGGTTCATCAGTCTAACAACCAATTTGTACTTAATTTCTTCACCTTTTCCACCCATCCCCCCAGCCCCCACCCATCTGGCAAGTAACAAAAAGTTCTCTGTATCTATGAGTCTGTTTTAGTTCTGCTTGCTCATTTTGTTTGTAGATTCAATTGTTGATAGATATGTATTAATTGCCATTTTATTGTTCATATTTTTGTTTTTCTTCAGGAAGACCCTTCAACATTTCATATAATACTGATTTGGTGGTGATGAACTCCTTTAGCTTTTTTTGTCTGGGAAACTCTTGATATGTCCATTGATTCTAAATGATAGCTTTGCAGGAGAGAGTAATCCTGGTTGCAGGTCGTTGCTTTTCATCACCTTGAATATCTCTTGCCACTTCTTTCTGGCCTGCAAAGTTTCTTTTGAGAAATCGGCTGACAGTCTTATGGGAGCACCTTTGTAGGTTACAGACTGCTTTTCTCTTGCTGGAAAGATGAATTCGAATTGAAGAAGCTACACACACATACACACACACACACACACAAAAACACACACACACAAATTGTACTTTGAAAAGGAGGTGGAACTTTCAAAGGTGAAAATGGACAAGGGGATAAGGATATCTGAAAGTTGAAGAAATGATATGAATAAAAACCCAAAAGGAAAAGTCTGAAAAATGAGGATGATCATATAATATAGCTACACATCAGGGTGGTGTGGGATAGACATACAGAATTATAGATTTTGAAAATCAGAAGTCCTCTAATACAAGATGGTCTGTGGATGGCTTCAGGGAACACTGCAGCTCCTGAAATTATATGCAACATTTTCTATGAAACACAGCAGTTTTAGCGGCTTTTATCAGATTCTCAAAGGGTTTCTCCATAACACAAATAAAGTGTTAAAAGCACTTTAAAGGATTTTGTGCAATTCCTTTATTTTACAGGCGAAGAACCCATTTTGTGACTTGCCTATGGTTCCACGAATGGCTGGTGGTAGAGGTGAAATTCAAAAGTACATTTTACAACTATTAGTCCGCTAAGGAGGCTGCTGAAAAGAGTGGAGCCAGATTTATCGAGGACTTTATTTTATTTATTTTTTATTTTTATTTTTTCCTTTATTGATTCCAGAGAGAGAGGAAGTGACAGGGAGAGAGAGAGATAGAAACATCAATGAGAGAGAACACTGATTGGACGCTTCCTGCATGCCCCCCACTGGGGATCAGGTCCACAACCTGGGCATGTGTCCTGACCGGGGATCGAACTGGTGACCTCTTCGTGCATGGGCTGACACTCAACCGCTGAGCCACACCAGCCAGACTACAGAGGACTTTAAATGAAAGATTATGTAGCTTCCCAACAACTCAAATGTTTAGCATTCCAACTTTTTTTTTATTAATTAATTTTTGTTAGATGTTTCTCCTTTTTCCCCAACTGACTCCCCCCTCCCTCTCCCTCCCCGCCCTGTCCCCAGCTTTGTTGTCCATGTCCATTGTTCATACATACATGCATGTAAATTCTGTGATTTCTCTCTCCTCCACAACCTCCTCTTCTGAGGATTGTCAGTCTGTACCCCATGTCCATGTCTCTGGGACTACCCCATTCCTCAGACTGTTATGTTCATTACATTCCACAAATAAGTGAGATCATATGACACTTGTCTTTCTCTGTTTGGCTTGTTTCGCTTAGGATAATACTTTCTAGGTCCCTCCATGTCGACTCAAAGGATAAGAGATCTTTCTTTCTTACAGATGTATAGTACTCCACTGCTTTTTGATCCATTCGTCTACTGATGGACATTTGGGTTGTTTCCAGATCTTAGCTATTGTAAATAGTGCTGCTATGAACATGGGGGTACATATATTGTTTCTGATTGGTGTTTCAGGCTTCTTAGGGTATATTCCTAGAAGTGGGATCACTGAGTCAAATGGAAGTTCAATTTTTAATTTTTTGAGGTAACACCATATTGTTTTCCATAGTGGCTGCACCAGTCTGCATTCCCACCAGCAGTGTACTAGAGTCTCCTTTTCTCCACACCCTCGCCAACACTTGTTGTTTGATGATTTATTGATGGTGGCCACTCTGACAGGTATGAGGTGATTAAATTAACAATTAAATTTTCTAAAACTGCAGTAATAAAATTAGTAGCTAGCAATACTGGTAATATGACAAAAAAAGCAAAAAGTTAATGCAATCCACTTATTTTCATAATGTTTTAAGGAATTTTTATTCTGTTTGATGTTATTAAATACTATTAAAATTACCCTATGAAAACAAAGTTTGCATTGATATTTGTAGGTTGATTTTCTCTAACAGTCTAAAGAGTTCCAATAGTTAATTCCTAGGCTATGCAAATAATAGATATATACATTCATCCATACATTAATCTGTAGCTACTTACACAGTAATGAATGATTTTAATGCTTTCAAAATGGGACCCAGATTGTTCCCAGAATATCACTCTAATATCTAACTTCTTGGATTAATGTTACCTTTATTTAAAGCCAAACTAAACTATCATTGCCTCTGAAGAAGTAAAACTAAAATTTTTTCCATTTGTCACAATAAGGAATAGTTAGTTGTTCATTACAAAGATGTTTCAGCCCAGGTTGGTTTGACTCAGCGGTTAGAACATTGGCCCGTGGAGCAGAGTCCTGGGATCAGTTCCCGCTAAGGGCTTGTACCTCGGGTGCAGTTTGTCCCTGGCCCTGGTTGGGGTTGTGTGGGTGGCGACTACTCGTGTCTCTCTCACATTGATGTTTCTCTCTCTCTCTTCCTCCAGCTCTATCTGAAGATAAAAGCAAAATATCCTCGAGTGAGGATTAAAAAAAATAATAAAGATGTTTCAATGTTTAACTTAGTAAAACTGAGTTTGCTTAATGCAAATCTCTCTGCGAATGTGGAACTTAGTCATTTTGTAAATTAAATTAAGTTAAATTATCACAGGCATTTAAAAGTGTTATCTCTAATAAAAATAATATATACTTGCTTAGTTTCTGTATACTCAAGTTTTCTTAAATGGGGGCTATTATATTTTATATACAAGGTGGGCAAAAGTATGTTTACAGTTATGAGTATGTGTATCAGAGTTTATTCCTGTATTATTTATTAATTATTGCATTATTTTCCATACAAAATACTGTAATCCTTTTGCCCCACCCTATGTTATCAAGCAAATGTCTAGATCCCAAAATGGCAGATAGATTTATCCTCAAATGGCACCTCTGAAAGGAAACCGGTGGCAGCTCGGAGCTATTATGAGAAGAAATGTGAGGTCAAGTCATAGCTAACTGGGAAAAAAAATCAGGAATCTACTGAGTGTGAAATGCCTGTGTATTAGGATCCTCTCAGTTAGGTGTAAAATTATCCGGTGTGAAGAGGATAATCAGCATAAGCTCTAGGAGCTTCCTTCCTCGGAGAGAAGTTTCTCATTTAACAGTGTCCACATCTAGTTCTATTTTATCTAGAAACCAACTTGCTCATTGATCAATTTCACACTTCTCCACTGAGGCTGTCAAAAGTTTACCTTTTAGTTAAAAAGGGCTAAAGAAAATGCTTTTTTGTACTGTCACCCCAACTCAGAAAGTTGATCTCACACACAGATTATTATCACACCACCCCCTCAAGTATAAAGTTTCACCACCATTAGTTTGAAATGCAAAGTCTCCAATACCATTAGCCGTATTCTTCCCCATAACTCAAAAAAGATTCAATAACTTTGAATTCTAAAATAAGTAAAATTTCTCTAACTGTATTTTTCCATTTCATTTGCTACAAACATCGATCTCCTCTATTTCTAATGGACCTTGAAATTAATTTCTTTCCTAAATTTATTTACATCATTAGTACCAGCACAGGGAGCCATAGGAAATGCTCTCTGACCTTTAATACACTTAAAGGAAATTTTCTACATTTCATAGCATGGAAAAGATCTACAACACAGCAAATTAAACATCCACACAGGTAAGTTTCTCTGGCAATATTATCCACTGATAAGACTCCCTTAATCATCTAATCTCTCAAGCATCCGATT